GGTGCTGTGGAGCGGCCGCAGAGGGTGCCACCGCCCTAGGCGAGGTCGGGCCGCCCTGCGCAGAAGAACCGCCCCCTGCAGCATCACCACCGCTTAGTAGAGAAGCCCAGGCCCTGCCCGGGACGGCAGCCGCACCATGGATCCCATCAGTTCACCCAGCTCCTGCTTCTCCGTCGGCTCCCCCAGTCCCAGCGGCGTCGTGCTCCTCTACTCGGTAGGCACCGGGGTAACGAGGCCCGGGCGGGGCCGCGAGAGACGACCCCCTCCTCCTGGCGCCGGCTTCCTCCAGCTCGCCATCTCGGACCCACAGCCCAGGTCCCGAGACCCCCGAGGACAGTTTTGGGAGTTGACTTGGTTTCCAAGGCAACGGTATATCGCGTGTGTGTAACCATGTGCATGCTTTTACAAGTTTCTGCGGGTGGTGGGTCCTCCTGTCGCTCCCAGTCCTTCCTGCTCCTTTCCTGCAGAGCCCTGCGCCTTCAGAAAGCGCCCCTGGGCGCGGGAATCGGGGTGAGGCTCGGCGTCTTCCCTCTGCAGTGAGGGCGTGTCGGGCTGCCTTTTGGGCAAACCTGAGAAACCCGCGGGTCCGACCCTGCCCGGTCGTTCGCTGCGGCTCCCCACCCCGCCCTTTCGTGGCTGATAATGGGAGAGACGTGTTGACTTGTATTTGGGGATAGAGTTCGTAAAACTCGAATATAGGAAGATTTCAAACTCCTGGAATGTGTGTTGCCTGTTTGGCTTCCGTTCGCCACCTTACTTTTCCCACAAGTCGTTTTGGAGGGCGATCGGTTCCACCGGCCCCTCTCCAACTTGCCTTTTTAACCCCGACCCCTTCTTCCTCTCCTTTTTTTTTTTTTTTTTTTTTCGTTTGAAGGTTTTTGACATTGGGGCGCTGTGCTCAGAAAGACAGGGTGAGAGGCAGAGTGAGAAATCACCCCCACGGAGAGATGACCACAGGGCAATCCCTTCTCCATTCTTCTCCTGGGATATTGAGCACCCATGCACACATCTGGACTGGAGCCCAGTCAGCCATGTGAGAGTCCAGCGCCTTAGCACCAAGCCACCTGCTGCTCCCCCCACCCCCTCCCTGGCTTTAACAGGTCTTTTTTGACTGAACCACTGATCATTTACAAGCTTTTCATGAAGCAATTGGGAGGTGGAAACTTTTTTAGCCATTGGGCTTACACTATCATGGGACAACTGAGCTGATTTTTTGTCGTTTTTAACTATTAAGTGTTTAATAGCTTTATGAGGAAATAAACGAGTGCATTTTTAAAAAGAATTATTTTATTTAACTGTATTTATTTACTTTAATTTGACTAGAGAGGGATAGAGCAAGAGAGAGAGAGTGGGAAAGTGAGAAAGCAAGCCACCAGGTCCTGGACTCGAACCGCAGTTGGCCATGTGGGAGTCCAGCGACCTTAACCACCACACCACCTGCCGGCCCCACATTACCATGTCCTGGTGCTTCATGTCAGTTCCCAACTTCTGTAGAGTGTTTATCTGTGCAGGAAAGCAAAACAGGAAAAATCAGAAAGGAAAACAGCAACATAAAAATCCTAGTTTGGAAAGAGAATGTGGCTACCTTTAAATGCTCTCTGGGAGGGGAACTTGTTTCTTGTGGAGGACCGGGGGTTTATGGCGGTTACCTGCCTGCCCGCCTCCTCACCGGCCTACCTCAGTCTGTAGTGGAAATGCCGCCATGTCTTTTCCTGACTCCAGAGCAAGCATGGAGGGAAGCATAGCTTTACTGACCTGAAACTGGTTTATGAACGGACTGGAGTTTATTTGGTATATGTTAAAGGCAAGAGTTTTCTTGCTTTTTTCTTTTTCCACTTTCCTCTTCACCCGTGATCCTGCATTAATAAAACTTTCGGCAGCTTCTTCATCTGAGAGACCGAGGCAACCACGTGTGAGTGTATCGGACTTCCCGCACTGGCCCGCCACCGTCTGCTCACCAGCAGCTCTCGCTGGTCTTGCCTGCCTGACTTTGGCTTTCATGATGACCTGAAGGTTTTTCTACCACGTTTCTAAGACTGCGCTTACTTCCTTCCTCAGCCACATGGTTATTGCTCAACGCTCGGTCTAATCGGAAGGTTGTCCTTCAGAGATGGTTGAGAAACTGCCGATTGCAGCGTTCGAGACCTGCTATCTACAATGATCACGATGAAGTGGGATAAGGGCAGGCGTTAAACATGCACAGCTTGTTGTGGGAGTAAAGAGAGAAGGCACCTGACCTGCCTGGGGACTTGGAGAAGGCTTAGGAGAGTAGGCAGCACCACAGCTGTGCTCTGGAGGAGTGTGTGGGAGACAGAGGAGGGGAAGATTGTTCTACATCCCCATGGAAGAAGCCACACCCGGAGTGCAGCCATAGGTCCTCCGGGGGAAAGATCAACTGGCCCCGAATGGAACTGAAGAAGCTGTTCAAGTGCAGGCGGGTGTTGAACTGAGAGTGTTGACTGGGCCCCAGGTGGTGGGGGCTCTGGTCAACCAAGGGCTGATCATACTCTACCAACTCAAGAAGCAGGTGTCCGGTGCATGTGCCAGCATACTGTCAGGGAGGAAGTGCAGGAACTCCAGCAGGTCCGGCTTGCCCAGACAGAAGGCAGCTGAGGAGGTGAAAGCCTCCTCACTCCCAGCCAGGACTCGTGAACCACAGCCCCATCAGCAAAAGCAGGCAAAACCCCCCAGGATGTCAACATGGAGGACCTTGAAAATGAGAGCTGAAATTCTTTTCTTTTCTTTCTTTCTTTCTTTTTTTTTTTTTTTTTATGTTTTTTTGCTATTGGAGGGGGT